CAGGCTGGCCTTGAACTCCTGACCTCAAGTGATCTGCGTACCTTGGCCTCAAAAAGTGCTGGGATTACAGGCATGAGCAACTGTGCCTGGCCCTAGTTTTTATGTTAATCTGTAAATTATTCCTGAGGCAGGCGGAGATACGTTGCTTGTTCAAATTAAAAAGGACTCAACAGGGCCAAATTTATGTCAAGAAAACGAAAACAGAACCTTTGGAAAAGCAAGGTAATATTTTTACCCTACCAAGTCTACCTAGACTGGACACCAGGATGTTTATAATTATTATTACGGTATGGGACTTTGGGACCACATTCTTTATTTTGTGACTCAGGGTCAATATTTTCTGTTGAAAACACTGACATTATCTTTTTATTACCAAAGATATACAATCAATTTCCAGTTTCCACACATTTATGAAGTAAATTTCTCAAGTTCTCGTAGTGCCCCAAATTTCAGGGATAGCTATATGAAGTCTCACAAAAATCTACATATTAGCGCCAGGTACAATGGCTCATGCCTGTAATCCCAGCAGTTTGTGAGGATGAAGTGGGTGGATCACCTGAGGTCAGGTGTTTGAGACCAGCCTGGACAACATGATGAAACCCCATCTCTACTAAAAATACAAAAAGTAGCCAGGCATGGTGGCGGGCATCTATAATCCCAGATACTCAAAGTCTTCGACAGGAGAATCACTTGAACCCAGAAGGTGGAGGTTGCAGTGAATCAAGATTGTACCATTGTACTCCAGCCTGGGCAACAGAGCGAGACTCAGTCTCAAAAAAAAAAAAAAAAAAAAAAAAAGCCAGGCTGGGCATGGTGTCTCATGTCTATAATCCCAGCACTTTGGGAGGCCAACATGGGTGGATCACTTGAGCCCAGGAGTTTGAGACCAGCCTGGGCAACATGGTGAGACTCTGGCTCTACAAAAAATAAAGAAGTAGCCAGATGTGGTGGTGCACACCTGTAGTTAAGCAATTTGGGAGGCTGAGGTAGGAGGGATGCTTCAGCCTGAGAGGCTGAGACTTCAGTGAGCCACAGCTGTGCCACTGCACTCCAGCCTAGGTGACAGAGCAAGACCCTAACTCAAAAATAAATAAATAAATAAAAATTCCAGAAATAAACAATTCACAAGTTTTGTTTTGTTTTTTTTGAGACAGAGTTTCGCTCCTGTTACCCAGGCTGAAGTGCAATGGCGTGGTCTCGGCTCACCACAACCTCCGCCTCCCGGGTTCAAGCAATTCTCCTGCCTCAGTCTCCTGAGTAGCTGGGATTACAGGCATGCACCACCATGTATTTTTAGTAGAGTTGGGGTTTCTCCATCTTGATCAGGCTGGTCTCGAACTTCCAACCTCAGGTGATCCACTCGCCTCGGCCTCCCAAAGTGCTGGGATTACAGGCGTGAGCCACCACACCAGGCCACGATTCACAAGTTTTTTAAAGTGCTGGCCATTCTGAGTAGAGTGATGAAATCTCAGGCTATCCCATTCTACCCTGTTCAGGATGCAAATCATCCCTTTGTTCACCACACTGTATATGCTATCTTCTCATTAGTCACTTAGCCAACTTGGTTCTCAGATAGGAAAACATAGCATATATAGAGAGTTTTGTATTATCTGCCATCTCAGGCATCCACGGGGGGTTTTGGAACATATCTTCTATCCCTTGAACCTGGGAAGCGGATGTTGCAGTGAGCCAAGATCACACCACTGCACTCCATCCTGGGTGACAGAGCGAGACTCAGTCTCAAAGTAAGGAAGACCACCTTTCCAGTCTTTAAGGAATGTTTATTTTATTTTATTTAGATTTTGAGACAGAGTCTTGCTCTATCTGTCGCTCAGGCTGGAGTGCATGGCGTGATCTCGGCTCACTACAACCTCTGCCTCCCGGGTTCAAGCTATTCCCTGCCTCAGCCAGCCAAGTAGTTACAGGCGCCCGCCACCATGCCCAGCTAATTTCTGTATTTTTAGTAGAGATGTGGTTTCACCATCTTGGCCAGGCTGGTCTTGAACTCCTGACCTTGTGATCTACCTGCCTTGGCTTCCCAAAGTGCTGGGTTTACAGGCATGAGCCACCACGCCTGGCCCAGGAATGTTCATTTTAAAACAGCATTAAAAGTACCAAAATATATAAATACTTTGAGCAAGACTTAAATGCATGCTTAATAAAAGTAGGCTGGGTGTAGTGGCTCATGCCTGTAATCACAGTGTTCTGGGAGGCCAAGGTAGGAGGATCACTTGAGCCCAAGAGTTCATGACCAGCTTAAGCAACATAGAGAGACCCTGTCTCTTAAAAAAAAGAAAAAAAAAAGATAAAAGCAAGGAATTCATTCTTTACCAATGAACGGTGAATGGGTCCTGCAAGTCAAGAGAAGATTTCCATGCTTTCTCTCTTTCTCTACAGATGTTCCTTGACTTACAATGGGGTTACATCTGGATAAATCTATTACAAATTATTGCCTAGCAGTGCAAGAGAAGTACAGTTTCTACTGAACATCTATAGCTTTCACACCTTCATAAAGTTGGAAAATCATAAAGTTGGACCATAGGAAGTTGGGGACCATGTGTATGTACAGTTTTATTAGTTTTTCTTGGTACCAGTATCTCTTTAATATAACCACAACCAGAGAATGGGGGAGGCAAAGTTTTAATGTAGTGGTCTAAATTCTGCTGATAGGAAGCAACCTTTTCCCTCTCAGGGTTTCACCAATGTGGAGGTATAAAGTAAGAACTATCAGAACATGAGGTTCTGATCCAATCCACTGAGGGTCCTTGGCCCAAATCTGGCTTGTAGACAGGTTTGACTTACATAGGGTTTAAAAATAATTTTTTTGGCCAGGCGTGGTGGCTCACACCTCTAATCCAAGCACTTTGGAGGCCAAGGCAGGCGGATCACCTGAGGTTGGGAGTTCAAGACCAGCCCGACCAACATGGTGAAACCCCGTCTTTTTAAATAAATAAATAAATAAATAAATAAAATATTTTTTTTTCTTTGGCCGGGCGTAGGTGGCTTAGACAGAGTCTCGCTTTGTCTCCCACACTGGAGTGCAGTGGTATGATCTCAGCTCACTGCAATCTCTGCCTCCTGGGTTCAAGTGATTCTCCTGCCTCAGCCTCCCAAGTAGCTGGAATTACAGGAGGATTAGATCAGAACCTCACACCTGTAAATCTCAGAACTTTGGAGGCCAAGGTGGGTGGATTGCTTGAGGTCAGGAGTTCAAGACCAACTTGGCCAACATGGTGAAACCTTGTCTCTACTAAAAATACAAAAACAATTAGCTGGAAATTAGCCAGGCAGGGTGGCACATACCTGTAATCCTAGCTACTCAGGAGGCTGAGGCACGAGAATCGCTTGAATCCAGGAGGCAGAGGTTGCAGCGAAGTAAGATTGCACCACTACACCCCAGCCTGGGAGACAGAGTGAGACTCCATCTCAAAAAAAAAAAAAAATTTTTTTTTTTGAAACACAGTCTGGCTCTCGCTCAGGCTGAAATGCAGTGGCACAAACATAGCTTATTTCAGCCTTGATCTGCCGGGCTCAAGTTATCCTCCCACCTCAGCCTTCCCAAGGTGTTGGAAATACAGACATGTGACACCACGCCCCCTAATTTTTTTAAAGTTTTAATAGAGATGGGGTCTCGCTATGTTGCCCAGGCTGGTCTCGAACTCCTGGGGTCAAGCGATCCTCCTACCTTGGCCTCCCAAAGTGTTTGGATAGAAGCATAAGCTACCATGCCGGGTTGGGCTTAAAAATTTTTAGTTACACATTTAAAAATCAGAGGGATTTCTATATAAATCTGGTTTTCCAGAGTCTTTTGAAAACCTGAAAGATATGGCAACAACCATCTACAACTGACTAGGAGTGGCATTCACTCTTCGGCTGTCCACATCCCCTTCCTAGCTCTCACTCATTTAAATTTCTCGTCTGGCTTCTGTAGGCATCTGAGTTTGCAAACCCTACTTAAAAGACCTAGGGAGGAAAACTACAACGTCGGCTGGTCTAGAGAGCCCCAATGGCCAAGCCCTGGTCCAGCTCTGGGTGTGAGCTAGGCCCCCTCACCTGGAAAGTCAGTGACAGCAGGGTCCGCCATCCACCCATAGCGCGCCATTAGTTTGAGCTTGGTCTCCTGTTTTCTGTGTTTCTTGCCCACGTAATGTTGTTGAGCCATGACAGGGTCGTTGAAAGTCGCATGGCAGAGGCTGCAGAACTTGTCTGGGTCTATCATCTCTCTATTCTGGTGCAAGGCTAAGGTGGAGGCCATAAGGAAAGGATTTGTAAGGCGTTTTGACAGAGCTGCGGTGAGAGAGTTCAAACAGAAACAATGAAAAAACTCAGAAGGTGCCAGACTTTTGAGTATGCTGAATTGAAAGAGAGGCTGTGTCACCTGTTAATCCCACTTGCAGATGTGGTGCTGCCTATGTGAATAGCACAGTGAATGCATTCTCTAAATGGGAAAACTGGGAAGATTTGAGGGAGCCCAAAGACAGGCTATTTCATTCAGTAGCTTTAACTACTTTAATAAGCACATCAATCCCGATTTTCTCATATTCTTAGGATACTCTAAACTTCTCCTATCAAGTTGCCAAATTACAATAGACTAGATGCTACTTGTACTCTTGCAGGGATACTTCAGCATTTCTCAGAACTTCACAAGTGGGACAACAAGTTTGGGAGTTTAATTCTCATCCTTAAAATAACACAGTTGCAGAACTGGGAACCAATGCATAGATACAGAAATTGAGGCTTGAGTTCCTGGAGCTCATACAGGGCCATTTAGAAAAGGTAACCATGTGGCAAGGTGTGGTAATCCCACACCTGGGATCCTTACGCCTGCAATCCCAGCACATTGGGAAGCTGAAGCGGGAGGATCTCCTGAGGTCAGGAGTTTGAAATCAGCCTTGCCAACATGGTGAAACCCCATCTCTACTAAAAAAATACAAAAAAATTAGCTGGGTGTGGTGGCACACACCTGTAATCCCAGCTACTTGGGAGGCTGAGGCAGGAGAATTGCTTGAACCCGGGAGGTGGAGGTTGCAGTGAGCCAAGATGGCCCCACTGCACTCCAGCTTGGGCAACAGAGCGAGACTCTGTCTTAAAAAAAAGAAAAGAAAAGGTAACCATACTAGCAATGACTTTTAGGCTACATTGCATTATAGGCTGAGTATAATGTGAGTATAGGCTAAGTATAACACATTTAGTTATGTGTTGTTTGTTTTTTTTTTTTTTTTTAGATGGAGTTTCGCTCTTGTTGCCCAGGCTGGAGTGCAATGGCGCAATCTCGGCTCACTGCAACCTCCGCCTCCTGGGTTCAGGCAATTCTCCTGCCTCAGCCTCCTGAGTAGCTGGGATTACAGGCACGCGCCACCATGCTCAGCAAATTTTTTGTATTTTTAGTAGAGACGGGGTTTCACCATGTTGACCAGGATGGTCTTGATCTCTTGACCTCGTGATCCACCCATCTCGGCCTCCCAAAGTGCTGGGATTACAGGCTTGAGCCACCGCGCCCGGCCTTAGTTATGTGTTTTGTACATACATTTTCTCCTTTGGTCCTCAGAACTACCCCAATTAGATAGGTATCACTTTGCCACATTATTCAGAAAAACCAAGGCTCAGATGAGTGAAATGATTTGCCCAAGGTGACCCAGTTAGTGAGTGAAGCCAGGTCTGTGAGCCTAAAGCCTATGCTCTCTTTGCTATGCTAGGCTGCCAGAGTGTGGCAAGAAGACCTAAAGGCTATAGCTCATATTTTCACCTTCAGAAAATATCCCTGATTCTGGTCAATGAATTCAGTTAATCAGAGCCTGGTGTGGGCATACATGTGAACCTCTTGTGCATCAACCTACATCTTGATGCTGACTGTGGGCTGTGCTGCTGCCTCATAAAGTTGATGCCATGACTCACGAACAAGTCAATGTGGCTGGAATGGTGTCAACCTAGCAATAATTGCTTTAAAAATGTAGGGCCCAGCACTTTGGGAGGCCAAGGCAGGCAGATCATGAGGTCAAGAGTTTGAGACCAGCCTGGCCAACATAGTGAAACTCCATCTCTACTAAAAATACATGGCATGCACCTTTAGTCCCAGCTACTTGGGAAGCCGAGGCAGGAGAATCGCTTGAACCCAAGAGAAGGAGGTTGCGGTGAGCTGAGATTGCACCATTGCACTCCAGCCTGGTGACAGACGAGACTCCATCTCAAAAAAAAAAAAAAAAAAAAAAAAAATGTGGGGCCCAGAAGCCCCCACCCGTGGTGGAGGAAGGATGGGACTCAGCAGGACTCTCAGATGAGATAGCTCAGATGCTCTTCCATATCCATACCACTTCAACTGGGGAAATTTTTAGGATTTTGGGCAAGCCAGAAGAAATTTGCTGGCCTTTCCCACAATGGTTTTTCAGTATAGGAAATCTCAATTTCTCTGCCTGTTGATTTTGTTTCAGCAAGTCATTAAAAAAGTAATGTACATGTTGTAGAATATTTTATGAGAAAATATTCTGTTTGTGGTGTTAAGTGTGAGAAAAGCATATTACGGGCCAGGTGTGGTGGCTCGTGCCTGGAATCGCAGCACTTTGGAAAATTGAGGAGGGCAGATCATCTGAGGTCAGGAGTTTGAGACCAGCCTAGCCAACATGGTAAAACCTGGTGTCTACTAAAAAAATACAAAATTAGTGGGGTATGATGGCGAATGCCTGTAATCCCAGCTTCTCAGGAAGCTGAGGCAGGGGAATCACTTGAACATGGGAAGCAGAGGTTGCACTGAGCTGAGATCGTGCCATTACACTTGAGCCTGGGCAAAAAGAGCAAGACTCCATCTCAAAAACAACAAAAAAAAACTCAAGTTACATATCAATCTGCTTCTTATATACTCAATTTTTTGTTGTTTGAGACAGAGTCTCACTCTGTCGCCAGGCTGGAGTGCAGTGCTGCGATCTTGGCTCACTGCAACCTCCGCCTCCCGGGTTCAAGTGATTCTCCTGCTTCAGCCTCCCAAGTACCTAGGCCTATAGGTGCGCACTACTACGCCCAGCTAATTTTTATATTTTTTAGTAGAGACCAGGTTTCACCATGTTGGCCAGGCTGGTCTGGAACTCCTGGCCTCAAGTGATCCACCCGCCTTGGCCTCCCAAAGTGCTGGGATTGAGCCACCGTGCCCAGCCTATGTCCTCAATTTTATAGAACAACAACAAAAAAACACATAGGTGACTGCATGGAAAAAAAGATCAAAAGCATAGAAAGTAGAGTGTGTTTCAATATTTTCCAACTTTTCCTTTTTTTTTTTTTGAGATGGTGTTTCACTCTTGTTGTCCAGACTAGAGTGCAATGGCGTGATCTCAGCTCACTATAACCCTTGCCTCCCTGCAACCTCTGCCTCCCGGGTTCAAGTGACTCTCCTGCCTCAGCCTCCCGAGTAGCTAGGATTACAGGCATGTACCACCACGCCTGGCTAATTCTGTATTTTTAGTAGAGATGGGGTTTCATCATGTTGGTCAGGCTGGTCACGAACTCCTGACCTCAGGTGATCCACACTCTTGGCCTCCCAAAGTGCTGGTATTACAGGCATGAGCCACCAAACCCAGCCTACCATTTTCCAACTTTTCTAAAATGAATATAGATGTTTTTTTCTTTTTTTTTTTTCAGGACGGGAGAAGAAAGATTTGGGTTGAACTGTGGATTTTTAACATCAGAAAAGAAGTATAATGGTTGTTAAGAGAAAAAGGTCATTCTTTAAGATACTGAAGAGAGGCATCAGAGGTGAAAGGGTAAGTAAGTCTGGAAGAACTATTTAATGCACATTCAAAAAAATGAGAGCTATAGAGTCCTTTCTCAGAAAATAACCTGAAATATGATAAAGTGTTCTACAGAGATGTTCACTGTAGTGTTATTTGTAACACCAAAAAAGTAGGGAGATTAAATGTTAAGCATTAGAGGAATGTTAAATGTGGTATGATGCAGTCACCAAAATGCTTATAAAGAAGTTTTTAGTAATATAGGGAAATAAAAATGTCATATTAAATATAAAACTTATAGAAGGCAATTGTATGGCCAGGCATGGTGGCTCACGCCTGTAATGTCAGCACTTTGGGAGGCAGAGGCAGGTGAATCACCTGAGATCAGGAGTTAGAGACCAGCCTGGACAACATGATGAAACCCTATCTCTACTAAAAATACAAAGATTAGGCCAGGCACGGTGGCTCATGCATGTAATCCCAGCAATTTGGGAGGCCGAGGTGGGTGGATTACCTGAGGTCAGGAGTTTGAGACCAGCCTGACCAACATGGTGAAACCTCATCTCTACTAAAAATATGAAACTAGCCAGGCGTGGTGGTGTACACCTATAATCCCAGCTACTCAGGAGGCTGAGACAGAATTGCTTGAACCCAGGGGCAGAGGTTGCAGTGAGCTGAGATCATGCCACTTCACTCAAGCCTGGGCAAAACAGGGAGACTCTGTCTCAAAAAAAACAAAACAAAACAAAAAAAAGGCAACTGTACACACCCCACATGGTAAGATCATTGTTTTGAGGCCAGGAGTTGAAGACCAGCCTGGCTAAAATAGTGAAACCCTGACTCTACTAGAGAATATCAAAATTAGCCGGGTAACTGCCGGGCGCGGTGGCTCACGCCTGTAATCCCAGCACTTTGGGAGGCCGAGGCGGGTGGATCACGAGGTCAAGAGATCGAGACCATCCTGGTCAACATGGTGAAACCCCGTCTCTACT